AGAATCAGCCTTGTGGAAGTATACTGAAGGAGGGGTGATTTTCACCTACAATAGGGTTTAAGAAAGAAAAGTAGAAATGATGTTTTGCCAGTGAATTAACCAAGGGCAATCTGGCAGTTTTTTAACGATCACGAGATGAAACACGCTTATCGACACCAACTAATAGAAAATAATGTATATGAAATTTGGAATTATGCAAAACAAATTTATGCTTCAAGCGAGCTCTCGTAAATTGTTATTTACCAGACAATTATGTCCAGTAACTGTTTGATGTTAAATATTTGAAAACTGGTAGTGTATCATGCGTTTTATAAGATATATCTAAGAACTAAGGCAAGAAAACTTATTTTCTCATTCACATTTTCTGGGAGAACAGAACCTTCTTTGTTTTCCTAACAGCCATATGTCAAAACACTATAAACTATTTTTTGTATAATCCCTTCTACGAGTCTTTATAAAAATATTTAACATCTCGTGTTTTAGATTGGATATTCAATTCGATTCTAGAGCTTGCTATACTAAGACACTTTTTTTGTTCGGTTGAGTTGGAAAAAAGTGTATTACATCAAGAAACGCTTATAAACAAAATAATCCACATGCACTGTAACAGAAATAGTTGTTATTTAAATAAATGTGTTACTATACAGTTAATCGTAATAAAAATATTGTTGTTTAAGTATGTATCAAAGTAAATGATAAAAGTAACAGGCTTGTTTTATGAATTATTAACTGTTTGTAGGATAAGTTCAATTTCTCAGTATATTTTAGTTTTATTTTTTTATTAATTTATTATCTATTCTTTTTTAGTATGAAGTGTAGATATATGTGTATTTGTGCATATGTATATGTGTATATATTTTGTAGTGGAAGTAAGTTTATTTGATGAAGAATTATACGACGTGATTCATTCATGGACTCTCCATAGGGTTTTAAGTTATTGTAAAAATCTGTATGTCAACCACAAAACCATCTTTGGCCAGTGTTCTTTGTGTGCATGTAAAAACGATGTATTGTTATTTTATTTCAATAAACATTTTCTTCTTATTATTATTATTATTATTATTATTATTATTATTATTATTATTATTCTATACTGTTAATATTTTTTTTTAATATTATGCTCAGTGAAATAGTATATTGAACAACTAGAGTAGGAAGTGAGTTATTACATATTTGAGATAGCCTAATGTTTGAAGTGCGGGATATATCGAGCACTTGAAATGGTCAAAAATACTTTCAATCGTGTTTTGAACGTTACTTTTCGCTTTACTACAAAGACTAATTGTTTTCTTAACCAACACAGACATTGGATTTCTTTATTAGGGTTAGGAACATTTCAAAACTCATAGACATTTTTATTTTAAGACGTCCCATCAATTTTAAGTTAATATTTACTTAAGTATTACAGTTTTGGTTGTATAAAATTAAAACTGTTGACAAAACAAGGAAATATTTTTTTGCGTCGGCAAAATCCAAAAAAGATAGTACTCATTACTTTCGCATAGTAAACATTCTTTTTCCGTAGTAAACAATGTAATGATGAATTTTTGCAGGTGATAAAAATGTTAAGAAAACAGGTCATTTCACAGTAGTGTAGCGAAAAATACTTCAAAATATTAGCCTAATTATAAAATAATATTTGTAATTTTAGATTTTAAACGTTGGGACTAAGATCATAAACTCATCATTTAATTGATTTCAATTGATGGTTCATTAATTAAGTTCCAATTGAACCAAACTCCCACCCGTTAGCGATTTCAGCTTCAAACATCTGCTAACACCAAAGGTAAATATTATCCTGCCGTACACAGTGACGTGCATTATTAATGCAAACATACCAAAGCATGGGTTCTACGAACGCTTCTTCCTCCGAGTTACTCATGTTAAGCAGCTGCTTTTCACTGAGACTTAATATGACTAAACCAAAAACTTTGCAAGAGTTTATTCACAGGAGTGACACTACGTTGGCTGTTGATGTTATTTTCAACATATTTGACGTGATAATATATCAAAAATTTGTCAAAATATCTAGTTTAAATACCATACAAAAGCAACATTTGGATATAAAAAAACTGGATGTAAATAATTCGAAAACAGATTAAAAAAAATAAAGTCCGGAAACAGCCGTTTTCGTTCTGTAAATCGTTCGCAAAATAATCGTTTACCAGGTAATTTCAAATACTGAACAGAAAAAAACATATGGTATTTTTTCAGTCTAGTAACCTCAAAATTTGTTAATAGTAGGCCTACATAAACTATTTTTTTTTTTACTATTTGAAACACACATTATGAACTAATTACACGATATTTTAAGTTGTACACAAACAAAAGAAATGTAAACATTGATGACAACTTGAAGTTATATGGTCTAATTTTAACGATTATTAGTTGCTTCCACGGTTCTCTATGATGAAAATAGTTGGTCATTACACGGAGCGAAAGGGGCTCTTTTCGGTACGCAATTGCGTAGATGTAAAAAGAGACACTTTCACTCCTAGTGATGAAGTATACTACTAATGAATGCTGTACTTGTAAAATATAAAATACCCCCTTGCTGTTCCGTTGATAATGCATTTATCATTCATAAAAGGCTTGGAGTGAGCTGGTTTAGTGGTTGAGGATGGGTCATAGTTCTCTGAGGTCGTGAGATCAAATCCTGCCAAATCACCACTGGATTTTATCTTAGTGATAATGTCACAAAGTCCACCTCAAAGTTGTGTGAAAAAAGATCACGGGCTAGAGCTTATCGTCAAGACAACATTGAAATTATAAAAACCTGAAATTATATTAGCTTTTTAACCACGCCTTAAAAGTATTGATTGTATCAATAAGAGCTAGGAATGATGGTAATGCAGGTATGATAAAAATGAATAGGATTAAATTCTGTCTGCTAGTTAGAAGTATCAGTAAAAGAGCAGAATATACGTTTGAGCCATTTACGTGTGGGTGGTGCCTTTGTAAAAAAGGGTTTCACTCAAACGTTTGTCACTTGAACATACGCTTTTACTCGTACAAAGTATAACATTTTTCTTCATTGAATATTTACATAAAAAGAATGCATATATAAATTAGGAAATAACGTTCTATCAATGAATAGTTTGGTTTTAAAACAAGATATAATTTTGTTTATTATCACCTAAGAGATTTCGCATGTTATAGTAATTTCCTTAGATATTTAGTTTAATATCATAGCAAATAAAAAAAAATAATATGGTAGTTATAAAAAGGACATGTATGTGATCTAATTTGGACGCTATTTTATTGATATTACAATAATAAGAAGACATTTTTTTAGATAAACCCAATTTAAAAAGAATTAAAAAGAATTAAAAATATTAAGTTTATGAATTTTGAAGTAATAGATATTATAAATATATATTATATAAAAAATGAATATAAATATATATTATATATTTTAATATATTTTCAAACGATATATGATCTCGTTTTATCTTTTTAAAAAACATATTTCCAAAAATGAAAACGTTAAAATTGTTTTTTTTTGGTACTGTTTGTCAAACTTATATTTTATCAAAGGATTTTTAGGATTGGCAAACATTGGCCAAAATCATTACCAGTCAAACCAATGAAAGTAATACAGTAATTGTTTTCATAAATATGCAGTTTTAAAAAGATTTCTATGAAACACAGGCTGTAAACGTACATAATAAAATGTTATTATTTCTCCTATACATTGAATGTAGAAATGATAACGACGATGTTAAACTCAGAGGATCGTAAAGAAATCAATTCCAGAACCATATTGTTAACCGTCATGTCAAATTTAAAGTTGAAACATTGCAATTCGTCAAGCGTTGTAAGTTATAATGCAGTCGTGAACTAATAATTTTAATTTTGATTACTTTTTTAGAAGAATGTAAGTCATATTTTATTTTATAATTAACACCAAAAATATAATTGTGTCCCCAAAATTAATGTACGTAACTAATCTTTTATTTTAATTAAATACCTTTATAAAATACACTGTAGGATTGCAGAAAAGGTGAATTTCTAGCATAATTTATAACAATATATATTCGAATAAGTATTTAATACAGGTAAATGTAATTTAAGAACAAATCCAAGCGAAATCGTATAAATGATATAGCGCATTCACACATTCCTTAAAGCTATGTAAATAAACGCTCATATGACCGTGAATAACCAAAAAAATTTACAAAATTTTAGTTGAATGTTACAAATTTATAAAATATACTGAAGGGAATAAAATATTAATACTGCTTGGATATATTTGAAAGATTTTATAATATTGTGTTACTTTTTATAAAAAATATACATTTTTAACATTGTTAGTTTATTTCCAGTACACAAGAATATATATTTAAATAGGAATTTGAAACCGATATATTTTCTTAAGATGGAAGCATAACCAAAATCTTATGGAAAAACGAAAATTTGCATTGGGTCAACTATTGTAATCGCTATAATTTATAGCGTGGAAAACCTAGTATCAAATGCTTTAGTGGTTAAAAGTGTCATACGTTGTTTTTATATTATAAAATACTTATTTTTTAACCGTGATTTAAAACACTGAACTATAATATTGGATCTTTACTTTAGATATGCATATAGCATTTGTTGGTCACAAAAAAGTTTTTTGACAACAAAAATAATAAATAGTATTAATTATTTAAAATAAAATTATTATTTGTAAGAACTACTCAATCGAAATCGTATTAAGTATATTTACATTGCCTTTAGTAAAGTTTAGTAAATACTTGATAATTAATTATGATTGTTATGGAGTGTTTTTTTATCCACAAAAACAATGCATGTGCGGATTCCAAAGCCATTTTCTTAAATAAACCGTCAAATTACTAATAAATCTTTATATTTCCTTAATAAGCGTTGGAAGTTAATACATTTTTATATTTTTCCCTGCATGTCCACCAACAAAAAAAACCTTGTACAAACACAACTTAACTACAACAACCCTACATTCAAATAACATGATTGTCATCTACATAATAATAACAAACCTAGTTTCCTGGCCACATATATCCAAAGGTCACACACACGCGACACTAGCGCACTCTACATCATGGCACTGGAACCGCCCGGCAACGACTGAGGGATTGGCGGTGTTGCCGCGTTTCCCCCACCACACCAACCCCTACCCCCACTCCTACATTACCAGGTCGTAACTTATCAACCATTATCATGCAATTATACAATGTAAACAACCGGACGCGAATACCGAATGGAATTAATCGAACATTATTCACTGACAGTCGTAATGGTCTGTGACATTTTCACTGATTGAATGGAATTAAGGGATGATTTTAAAAATTGATGGAGCTGATGAAGAAACTAGCTGGAATTTAGGGTTGTGATTTAATCGGAATGTATTGGTGGAGATGATTGCTAACGGGTTCGCAATGATATCGTGTTTTAATTGGTTGGAAATAGATAAGTTGTGTGCAACCAATGACTTGATACGAAACTTTATAGACCTAAGCGACTGTTAAAACATTAACTGAATGTGTAATTAATGATGCAGGTCTGTAATCAGCAATTTGAAAAAACTGACAAACTATTAATCTAGTTTTGTCTAATTTTTATATTGTGGCGCGATCTTGTAGTGATAAGTAGGCTACACAGCTAATGAAAACTAAGGGACCTACAGTTTATAGTGGAATCCAAACCACATTTTTGCCTTTTTATTAACGAATTGGTCTAATTATCAGGATGCTACTGCGTATAGTCGTAGTAATCACTTGTGTGGACGTTAATCCACACCAGGGAGTATGACTTCCACAGATCATGGCTATAAATATCCACAATTCGAGACCTACGATGGTTACATCAGTACAGTTTTAGTTTTACATTGAAAACTAGCTTTACACCGATAAATAAGATTGTAAACAGTCTAAAGGTTATGTGAATTAATTTATTGTGCGATTGAATTTAATTGTTCATACTAAGATACAGTATCAGAAAATTCGCGTGCAAATGGTAGATATGTATTTCTACATACTATATAACTATTTGTTTTTCTTTATGAAGGGCCTGCCTTATAAGTAACCATGGAATTGCATCGCAGCTGGAACAGCTTATTGTGCACTGTATAGCAATTTACTTTAGATTAAAATTTATTTAGATGCTTATATTAATTAAAAATATAAAATATATTTTGTTGTCATTATAATGATTGTATTTTAAATTATTTATATTATAATAGTACTTCAGGGCAAAATTACCATTTCATATCTCTCTTGCATCACAGATTGCATTACTGTATTTATTTTTTCTTACTGTTTGAATGTTCTTTTTAATATGGAATTAAAAATCAATTAATGCAAAATGAAAAATAACATTTGAATTTATTTTTAAAATATACTAAAAATTACCATGTAAAATCAACGCCAGTAAATAGCCTCATATAATGTATTGAGTTTCATTAACGCTATTAATTTATTGTTTGTAGAATATCTAGTGTACAAGCCACCTCAAACTACTGCAGTAAATACAGCCTACCTATTAAGCCTGAGAAGCCCCTGCAACTCTATTACTGCACTTAATCTTGTCCATAGAATTACCTAAGCACAAGATAAACGGGTTGTTCTATTGCCCTCTTGTACTATGTGTATCATTTTGTAATATATGTGTCATTTTACTGCAATGTTCAAATGATTATAGTCTCTTTGAAATAAACAAATATATAATAATAAACCGATTCTAGTATCCCACGCTTGCAAAGTCACATAAATTTAGACAGAAAAACATTGATCAAATAGCAAGTTGGGTTTCAGATTATTTTATTCCAATATTTTTTTCCCAATATAAGTAATGTAAAATAAATAAATAATATTGTGGGAGTAACACATAGTGTGATGCAATAGATGAACATCACAACTAAATGAAATTTTGACGTTATTTTATTTAGTTTGGTAAGTTATAGGTTAAAAATTAACACGATTAACATATTAGATCACTAAAACTCATAATCGTTACCATTATATATAAGAGAAATACTCCATACTGAATTATTGTATAGAGTTTTTTATTATATTATATATTTTTTATGTCATTTAAATTGATTCATCTGTTGGTCCGAAAGGTTTTTTACTGCTTTCTTTTTATGAACATAGCCTTAATCCTAATAGGCAAGCATGTATGTATAAATAAGGTACTAGGACTACGATTTGTCTAGGTAAATGTTTAAATTATTTGTTAGGCCATTAGATTGATTTGTTATATTGATGTTGATTGATTTGTTTGTTATTAGTTGTTTGTTGTAGATTAATTTGTTATATCAATAAATGATGGAAACATGTCTTTCTTTAATTATTATTTTCTTCTCATTAAGGGCCATGTTCAAGCCTGTGTTACTCCATTTAATTCCTATTCAATTCACTTTATTTTAAAATTCACACGACTTCTATTAAAATAACATAAGTTTATTTTATTCACGCATGTTAATAATATAATTACAGTTTTAACTCATGATTTGGGTTTGAGTAGTGGACTTCCTTGCTTTCTTGAGACATTATTAATGTGCTAAATATTATTAAAAATACGAAAACAGTTCAAATCGTATGCAGTGTGTTTTTGTTGAATGAATGAATGTATGAATGTATGAATTGATGGTGGATGCAAATCAATAAAGTTCAACGAATAAAAAAATATCATAAAACACGAAAACATAGAATAAATATACGGTTACAACACGAAACACATGAATGGACAACGACAAAAACGGACTTGACCGGGCTGAAGTAAAGCCTAGACTGGAAAATGTTTTAATTTGTGTGTTAAAGGTTACATAGTAAAATCAATCAACCAACACAAAGGTCATAAATAAACTAATAGCAGATCCAAGCGTTTTTAATGGGACATAATTAATTTTACTTGTAATAGAATTTAGTTTTTATACATGAAGGGATTAATCTCAGTTTCGTAGATATGTTTGATTCAGACTTTAATTCTCGAGAGTCGTTTACCACAGAACAGATAGTGTTGCAATGGGAAACCAAATCAGAGATTAAATGATAAACTACAAAATCTACTTTGCATTACTTGACGTGGTTGATCCTATAAACTAAACCTAGTACTAATGGAAACGTATTACTCACTCAACTTGAATGCTGTTCATATTTGAGTACATAACACTCGTACAGACATTTCATGATATACTTACGTTTATACAGTATAACTATATTGAGGATAGATAAATTTTAATTTTCATGTTCATAATAATGAAAGTAATTAATTAGAATATAAATACACTACTTTAAAAACTTTCTAAGTCAGTCGAAAATCTGGTATGTTACTTCGATAAAATTTTGCATTGCCTACATCACTTTTTCAACATTAAATATGACGTGATTTTTTTTTTAAATGAAATTCTCTAAAACAGTAAGTTAATATCATATTATTACTTTAGGTATTAGTATTAAAATAAACCCATATTTTAACATGGAATGTTAGGCCTACCTCGAGGCTCTCAAAAAGGTTCCACCGAAGAATGAACTGAATAATGTAACGCACAGGTCTGACTGAATCTTTGATTCCATTCCTTCTCCGCCACGACAAAAGTGTTCACTTTTATTGCTACTTTCAAATGTGTAATGTCTTTGTGTGTACTTTAATAACTGGATGATCATCACCACTATTAAATCATTCACATAATGTATATATTATTAACTAAACCAATTTAACATTTGATCATTTATTATAAAGAAAACCCATTTTTATAAAAAAAGAAACAAGGTTACACGTATTATTTTATTTAATTTTGTAAAACTCAATTAATATAATTGATCCTAGATCTAGGTGCACATGGTGTATATCTCACTTGACCAATTGAATCAGTTTTGTAAACAATTAACAAGCAATTAATAGTATATTGTTTTACAACAGTGTTATATTATTTTCTTACCTATAAGAAATTAAGAAAATAAGAATTAGCTACAAGATAAAGGGGTAGGGGGCTCCATTGCTCTGTATTTTGCTCTCATTTTAAGGTCAAACGATTAAATCCTCATAAAAAAAGAATAATTCAGTTAAAGTCCCTTGTGTAATTTAACAGGTATTCGTACTAGTGTAATGTTTTATAATCATAATACAAAAAAATAAAAATAAAATAATTTTCAAATGGCAAACTTTATCATGCTTGCCAAAACATTTTAATAATACAACGTGAATTTTTTTACTTTTCAGATTAATACATTCTTACGCATTGGTTCTAAATTATCAATGGTCTATAAGTAAATATTATTGCCGAAAGAAAGCTTATTATGGTACAATAAATGAACAATAAGATTAAGTTTATCAAGTAATGAGTAATACATCAACAATAGAAAATATATAAAATACTTTAGAAGCGATTTTATTTTATTCATTGTAAGGGGTATGAAAATTGTATTCCAAATTCAGCATGTTAAGCACTTAATAGCATATCTTATAAATTGGACCTTTTTGGGTATCTTTTTCATACGTGTGAATACCATGAAGTAGTTGTTTAAAAGTAAAATACAGTTATACTAACCTCCAGTGGTCGCGTATCACTAAACCTGCCATATTTTAGTTAATATTAATTCTTGTAAACTATATGTAAAATCAATGGCTTTTGAGTTATTTAAGAAACAAAATTATAAATGGCTGCCATTTTGTTTTATGAATTTGGAAAATTGTCATAACTTTTATTGCATTGTCTAGTTTTCATAAATATTCGTGCAAAAACTCAATATCTTATGTTTAACCACTTTTCATTAAAAAATTAATAAGTGAAAAAAAAAACTGAATTGAGGCTGTGTGAGAAAATATTAACTTCCGGACAATTTAAAAATGTAATTTAGATATGTTTCTTACCCAGGGACAATGCCCTAAAATATTGGTAGAGAGTTCCGGGACTATTTTTGTAGATTATAATGCAAAGTTGGTTGTCCGTATCCAAGTAGTTGGCGTGAGGAAGGACCCGTATAAATTAGCAGACCTGTCAGCGCTCTGCGGTATTTATGGGGCTGCTTCTAGGAGTAATTTACAAGTTTTGTAATGCCACGACATCTGAATCTCTGTTAAACAATTAGGTTGACATTTTTATCTTATTTTAATCTGTTTGGTT